TGTGAGGGTTGGAAATGTAAAGGTAGACATTCTGTAGCAAGGAGGGGGATGATTAACTTTGCAGTCTAGGAGCGGAGGTCCCTGGGACCATGAAAGGAGAAGAGTGGAGAGCGGGACCCTACCCAGAGAAGGAGTGATGCCAGAGATAGAGGCAGAGCTGATCATGTGGAGAGATTGAGCAGCTGGGGCTTTAGACCCAGGGAGGGACAGGGGATGTGTGCTGATGACCAGGGGTGGGACAAGCTTGTAGGGTATACCCTTTGGTTGTTTGGTTGATTATGCATGGAGGGGAATATAACCATAGCAATGACACAGTACACAATAGGATGCATGTAAAACTAATGTTCTCCCATGCAAACTATCACATAATTCACAATAAAACATTAAAAAAAATTTGATATTTTTGTTACTCTTGACTTTACATTAAATTTCTCCTTGTGAATGTTTTTGCGTATGTAAAATGTTAAAACAGTGTCCTTAATGATCAGCAATGAGAAACATTTAAGTATTATCAACTAATATGCATATTACATATTCAAAGAGCCAATTGTTAATTATTTGACACATTTTTTTTATTACAGATCACATATTTAATTATTTGCTCTCTGTGGGCACCTGATTTTGGCTATATATTTAAACCTTTAATCAACAATAGGAAAAAGTAAACAAATTCATACACTCTTAATTATAGCTATTTCTGATGGATAAAGTAATTCAAGATAGAGTATGAATTGTCTTTATGTCTCATATACAAAGGAACTTCAAAAAGTTAATAGAAAAATGAATTTGAAAGATAACAGAAATTTTCAATAACTTTTGAATCATCATCATTGTTGTTAAGCCATCCTATTAAATATAATTGAGAATGAGTTCTGAGTCATTTATACTACTAAACATTAGTACTCTTGGCCACCTACAGTTTTAAAATATATAAAAAGAAGAAATCAGTAGTTATAAAAACTATGAAAGCAAAGGTATCTAGAAGTCTATCAGTCAAAGTAAGAACAACTTTCAAAGTTTTAAGTATGTAATGTTTACTTAAAAAACACAAAAAGATAATCTATTTAGCTGCATATAATATATCCAAATGTGTAATATACGAAAAAAATACAAGAGTCCAGTGGTCAGTTTTAAAGTAATGAATGTATATGAGACAAAGAACACTTTACCAAATAAAGTACTCCAGGATTAGCAGTACTACAGAGAGATGAACAGCTATTTGAGATGTGAGACTGGGTACCACGAAAGCAACCACACAGTAGTATCTAAAGCTGAAGTAAACACATATCACATGCAAGTTGTTATCAGAAAGAAAAGGAGACTAAAACTACTGAAAGAAAACAGCTTTTTATATGAAGTTCTTGAGAATGATCAAGAAAGTTACATTTTTTTCTGATGCAGTCTTACTATTCAAGATGAGCATAAAGGTTGCAAACAATTTGGGATCTGGTGTGGCTCTGCAGAACAATTCACAGGACTGCAAGGTCAGTTTGAACTGCAAGTTTGGCAGTTCAAACCCATCAGTAGCTCCTCCAAAACCCTATACA